CTGGAGAGAAGAAGCCTTCCTGGTGAGAACAGGAAAGGAGGCTGAGGGCTGGGAGGGGTGCAGCTGTGAGAGCCCTTGGGCAGCGAGAGGGAGTATCGCTTCCAGGAGTGTTACTAGGAACTCCTGCCTGGATCCAGCCATGGATTTACCCAAGTTTGACTTTAAACTCTTTGATGACAAGAGAGAGCTAGGAGCCGAGGAGGCCAAACTGGAACTGGGAGTTGATTAAGAGAGTGTGTTACAAAATGATGAAGGTCCTCTTCTCTGAAGATAGAGACCAGAAGTTAGTTGATTAAAATTTAAAAAAACAGAAAAGTTAAAATGGGTATTAGGGCCTCCCTGGTGGTGGATGGGGTTAAGTCTCCCCACTATGAAGATATCTGCAGCCACTATAGCACGAGTTTCATCCCCGGACAGGGAGCTCCCCACATGGCACAGCAGACCTCTCCTGTCTCACCCGCTGCTCCCCTCAGCAGTGTATTCCAGTCAGTCCGCCTGTTCTGTTCCCCACTCTGTCTCTGTTGAATCCTCTCACCCCCCACACCTCTGGCCTGTACCCCAGTTCTTGTATTATTAGCAAATCAGTCTAAAAAAAAAAAAGAGAGTCTGAGATAAGGCATTGAGGGTGGAGAGGAGGGGGTGAGTATGCAGGAGGAAAACCCAAGAAATGAAGCCTGCGTGCAGGAGGTAGTGAGAGCAGAAGTCTAGGATTTCTGTTCTTGGTGACAGTTGGGTGGACGAAGGTGCAACATATAGAAACGGGGACTGGAATGAAAAACTCCAGTTCTGGGTGGAAGTTGTACAGTCCACTTAACACCGTGCTGTGTTGGAGGTATGTGTTCCTTGTGTGTGTTTGTTCCTTCTTTTTTGCAGCATCCATTTCCCATACCTGATCTACTCTCCCTGACATCTGGTTCCCACTGTATGGGTAGGGTCTGCCCAGTTCTAGGAGTGAAGTCCACAGGGAGGCCTAGGTGCATCGGTGCAGGTACACCTGCAGGCCAGGGACTAGGCCGGGATGGTCATGTGCTCTAAGCTGTCCAAAACAGAAGGAATGTCAGGCCTTTATTTGAGAATTCTGGAATAAAGGTAATTCCTCTCTTCTCCCCTCTCTAACGCACTCCCCTACCCAGTGGATTCTAATTTGAGAGGTTGTCATCCTCAGAAAGTAATGCTGTTAGCCATCTCAAGACCCTAGTGAGGGGGCCTGAGAATGGAGTCAACATTGGAGAAACTGAGCCAAAGAATTTCCAGGCAGACCACAGATCTGAGAGCTGTGCCAGAGCCCAAGATCTCCCTCCACTGTCCAGTTACCCCAGTCCATGGAGACCTGCTTTAGCTTAAAAAACAATTTAAATGAAATTTTCTATCCCTTGCAACAAAAAGAATTCTAGCTGTGGCGTGCCAGATAGAGGTGGTAAGTAGGTCCGTTGGGTATTCTAGAGAAAGACTTGTGCTGGAGATACGGCAATGTATCTGGGGCAGTATGGGGCAGAGCCATGAGTTTGGAGGAGGTGTCCAGGCAAAATGCAGTGTCCAGAGAGCTGGTTAGTGGACATGTAGAGAAGGGGGAGGCATGAGGGTGCCTCAACCCAGCTAAGGAGTTTAGCAAGGTTTCCTGGAGGAAAACCCATTTAGGCTGAGACAGAAGGATAGTGGGAAGGCACATGTGAATTAGTGTGGCTGGGGTAGGGGGTGGAGGAGGGTGGGGGTACCCCCCTACTGGCAGAGCTCAAGGTAGATGAGAGAATCCCAGTTTGTTGAGCAAGCTGAGTGGGGCTGGAAATTAAGAGGGTGTAGGTGTGAGGCAAGGCACTGAGAGGTGAGCTAAGTGGGGATGTGCAGAGCATGCGCAGAGCATCGGGGAGCCCCTGATGGGCTTTAAGTTGGAAGGCAGCCAGGTTGGAGGCTCAGGCAGGAGAAAGGATTGGAGAGGCAAAGCCAGAGGAGCTGGGCCTCGCAGGAAGTTGGCACAGTGTTTCCAGGTGAGAAGTAATGGTGCGCTGGGCTGGGGCTGTTGGGGATGGAGTCTGGGATGTTTGAGTGGAGAATGAAATGAACTCGGGAATTTGGAGGGAAAAGGAGGCGTCAGGGACTCCCTGGTGGTGCAAGGAGTTAAGACACAACCAATGAAGCTATCCGCAGCTACTGCAGCACGAGTTCGATCCCTAGGTGGGGAGATACCCACATGGTGCAGCAGACCTCTCCTGACTTGCCCGCAGCTACCCTCAGCAGTGTATTTCAGTCAGTCTGCCTGTTCTGTTCCCCACTCTGTCTCTGGTGAATCCTCTCACCCCCAGCACCTCTGGCCTGTACCCCAGTTCTTGTATGCATTAATAAATATTTTTTTTAAAAAAGAAAAGGAGGCATCAAAGCTGACTTTCTCGTTTCTGGGTGGGATCTAGGTGGAGGGAAATATCTTTTCCTGAGGCAGGAACAGAGGAGGAGGAGCAGGCTGGGGGTTTGAGACACGGTAAGCTCAGTTGGAATGAGGATTCTGAGAAGCAACCTCCTTGAGGACAAGAATCTTTTCTGCCTTATTCATGTCCCTGGACCTGACACGCAGAACACTGCCTTGCACACCATAGGTAGGTATTTGTTTAGTACATACAAACATGAAAGAGAGAAGTCTGGGAAGCAGCTTTGAAGCTCAGGACCTAAAAGTGGGGCAAGGAGTTAAGTTGTCATTGGCATCTAGTAGCAAATGGAGACACAGGAGTAAGATCCGCAGGGAGAGTATGAGGACCTACTACTGGATGCAGTGGCATCAGCATTTGCAGGATAGTAACTGTTTGATGTGGGTCACCAGCCCTGCCTTTAAATTTTTTCTTAAAGGTTTATTTATTTATGCATACAAGAGCTGAGGTATAGGCCAGAGGCACAGGGTGGGGTGGAGGAGGGGGGAGGGGGGGGGGGGTGGTGGTGAGAGGATTCACCAGAGACAGAGTGGGGAACAGAACAGGCCGATTGACCAAAGTGCACTGCTGAGGAGAGCAGTGGGAGAGTCAGGAGAGGTCTGATGCAGCATGTGGGTAGTTCCCTGGCCGGGAATCGAACTTCTGCTGCAGTGGCTACGGCTAGCTTCATAGGTTGCATCTTAACCTTTGCACCACAAGAGAGGCCCCCATATTTTTTTTTAAGCAAAATTCAATACTTCACAAATTTGCTTGTCATCCTGGTGCAGGGACTATGCTAATATTCTCTGTTTTGTTCCAATTTTAGTGTATGTGCTGCCTTTTTTTAAAAAAATTAATTTTCTTATATCACTATTCGTTTTTGTACAGTATTTGATTTTTCTCCTCAGGTGTAGTTCCTGTAGTTCTTCCACCACCTCAGCACCCATGACACATCACTGCAGTCCCTGCTGCTCTTCCCTCCTCTGGATTGACTCTGTTTGACCCCCTTCTTTTTCCTGAACCTTTGTTAGGCTTCCCTATATTCCACATATAAGTGAAACCATAGGATATTTTTCTTTTTTCTTCTGATTTATTTCACTGAGCATCATCCCTTCCTGCTCCATCCATGTTATTGTGAATGGCATGAGTTTATCTTTTTTGATTGCTGAGTAGTATTCCATTGTGTATATAGGCCACATCTTCTTCATCCAGTCATTTGCTTTTGGGCACTTGGGTCGTTTGCATATCTCAAGCGGGGCTTCTCTCTAGACTTCAATTGCAGATGCCCACTGAGCATTGCCAACTGTAACCCCAAATGGCTCTTTAAATACAGCACCCCCTCACTGAGCTGTCACTCGTTTCGCTAGTCAGCTCTTTCTCTTGGTCTCTCTCCTTCATTTACCTTGCCATCTAGAGGCACTCCATGGAGTTGTTGGATTGGAAGGTTGGTACTGATGTGATCTTACTTCTTAGGAAAACTAACATGTGCCAAGCAAGTAGGTTTCCAGTAGGTTCCCTGAGCCTGGGATCTTAAGGGAGGCCAGTATATTTTGGGTGCCTGATATTTTCCTCTTTCTTCTCAGGCTCACTGCTTTTTGGGATCATAACATTTTAAAGTTATCTTTAATTTTTATATTAGGGGTACCTTCCGAGGGAAGAAGCTGGAGACTTCACTGTTTGAAAAACTTGGGAGACTTGCTAGCCTGGGGCACTGGCCCTCATTGTGAAGTGTGAGAGCCAAAAAATGGTCTCAAATGGTCCGATTCATTATGTGGAAGAAACTGATGCAGAGAAATTTTTACTAAGAAGTTAAAACTCAGAGATGGTAAGGAGCAGTGGTTTTCTGGAAACACCTCACTCTCCCCTGTGCTGTGCAGGGTGGAGTGCTTGCTCTGAGATAGCTGCTCTCCTCTGAGCTGTGCTTGAGCCACCCCCCCCTTCCTCCCTGCCCCCAACCTTCTCACCTCTTTCCCTGCTGCTTTCACTGAGGGTTTAGGAAATTTCACTTTGTTGAAACTAGCCCAAACCAGAGTGAAACTGGCTTCCTTTCTATCCCCCCACACCCACTCCTTCTCACCACAGGACCTTTGCACTTGCTGTTCCTCCTACTGAAATACCCTCTCCTCTTTCGAAATGTTTGCTCCTTCGTACCCTTCAGATCTCAGCACGTCATCAGAATAGCATCCTCTGCAGCCCCCATTCATGCAGAACACACCACCTAGGGAAGTCCCCTCCAAGGCCCTACCAGACTCCCCGGGGCCTTTGCTTAGTTGTTTGTTTATCCATTGTCCCCCCACCCTTGCTACCTCCCCCTCCCAGCCCCCCACTAGAAGGAAGGTAAGCCCAGGGAAGGCGGGGCCTTGTCAGTCTTGCAGACAGTGTCCTCAGAGGCTATGACAGTGCCTGCAGCGGGCAAATGGATATTTAAGGAGTGAATAATGCCAAGTGACATCTCCATCAGCATTAATATTTGAGAGGTGATTCAGTGGGTCTCATTAGTCATGACTGTGCAATCACCAAGAGGCAGTTTTACTATTTACTTTGCAGTTTCTGGTAACTGCTTCCACAATCTAATTTACATCCCTCCCATCCTTCCCCTCCCCATGCACAAATTTACAGACTCTCCTGTACGTGTTCTTTTTAAAAAAAAAAAAAAATAGTGCTTTATTATTGCCATCAGGAGTGGCCTGCATGGGTTGGAGGGCGTGCTGGGCTCAGGGTGTGCATGGCCTGTTAGGAGAGGACGGCTGGGAGGCTGGAAGGAATTGCCTGCAGGCCACGCCTAAGGGCTCCTCAGATTACTTCTGGCAACAGGTAGACTTCATAAAGGATTCATGGCAGGCTACAGCCAGGCCGCCAATGAGATTAAGAAATTCTTGAAAATCCAGCTGGCCGTCAGAGTTGAGGTCCAGTTTCTTCATCATGCGGTCAAGGACACCCGGGTCCTTCTGGTTCTGCAAAGATGATAATAACAATAATGGCAATAATACTGGCACCTCCATGTCGTACTTCCTAAGATGCTTTTGAATATGTTTCCACATTTTGTTCTCACAAGAGTATGAGGTCCAGGGTAGGGAATATCCAGTGCTCATTTCCTAGGCACAGAAACAGACTCAAAAGGGTAAAGTGACTTGCCAAGGAGGGTTGTAGGTGAAACCAGGTTTTAGTCCAAGATTCTTTCTGTGACAGTCAGGGCTTATTTGATTTTGTAAAAACAGTGGAATGCTTTTTTCAAGTGTTGCATCAATTCTAATAATATAAGCTGTGTAAAAGTAGAGAGATTTGAAGTGAAAAGAGGACACAGACCCTGTCTAATCAGCTTCAGCCTTCACTCATCCACGCCCCCAGTATATACACTTCTAGCCACTGGTTACATATTTAAACCCAGTGACTGGGAGCATTAGTCCTGTGACTGCACATGTGCTGGCGGCTACCATCTCAGATGGCACAGAGACTGAACATTCCCATTAATGCAGATGGGCTGCCCCACAGGTCTGGGGAGAAGAATAAAATTTGAAAACTCTTCTATCAAGCCATTTACCAAGGGCCTCCTACTAAATGGTAAAAAAGCAAATCCCCATTCTCTGTGTCATGGAGTTAGAGAGCTTCGATCTTGAAAACATAGCTTATTCAAAGAAAATAGAAAAGACCCGAAAGGAGCTCACTCTGAGGCTCAGGGGTCCAGCCTGGCCTGCTATGTGGACCCTTAGTTTGGAGTATGGGGGGCTCAGCTGCTGGTCCTTCATTCCTAGCCATCTTGCCAGGGCCTGGTTTCAGGATGAGGCTAGTTTGGGGTTGGGGCTGGAACAGTACTGACAGGGGGCCAGGGAGGAGGGGAAGGGCACCAGACCTAGCGTAGGAGTCTGTACACACACACTCAGCAGAGGCTGCATGCACACACGTGACTGATGATCTGTTTGCTTTCAACTAAAACTCTTGCCTTAGAACTGAGATTCCTACCCTGGTGATGCCCAAATAAGCACTGGACACTGATGCCATAAGAAATAAGCCAGCAGGCCAGAATGTACCAAGGTCAAGATAACTGAGAAGTGATAATACACTCTGGGGGCGGAATATGATGAATACTAAGAACATCAGCCGTGATGGACTGACTATTCTGATAAACTGACTGGCTGTTCTGATGGGCTGTTTGCTTATGACTAATTGCTTTTGTTTAACCCATAAAAAGGCCAGTTAGAGAGATGGCAGAACAGTCCGTTGGTTCTCTCAGACCAGTGGCCAGCAATCCAAAGTGCTTATAGATTCAATTCCTGTCTCTGCTTATTAGCGTTTTGGTAGTGACAGGCAGCCCAGTCCCAGTACCTTTGTGAAGGCGGCGAGTTCTGTGTTCATGAAGGTTAGGAACTCGGTCTTGGAGAGTTGGCAGCTGTTACCGTCCTTTCCAGCGTACTTCTGGAAAACTGCAATCAGAGACTCGATGCACCGCTCAGTCTCAGTAGCGCGGGACATTTTTGCCTTTGGAGAGAAATATTGAGGGTTCAGTATGATGTCAAGGGGCAGATATGAGAATACCCCAGTGAGTCTTATCTCTTCATTTGGGGTCAAAGCAGTTCCCAGAAACAATGGGTCATTTTTTTGGGGGGCCCAAGTCAACCACAGAAAGACAAATTCTGTGAGCTTCCTTCCCATAGTTTGCCATATATTTATTGCTAGTGAAATTTATGTGGGTAAATATGGAGGAAGTGAGCATGTTTGAAAGCAGTAGACTCACCGAGAGTGAGGGTGACAGAGCTTACTGATGATTTTAGAATATATGGGTAAATCTATGAATAGTTACATGTCCACATGTCCATCTGTACACCCAGCATTGTCCAGAGTAAATAATTTACTACTTTCCAAAAATATATAAAGCTGACTGTGATGAAAGGAATGTGAGGTTACTTTTAGAGCTATACAGAATTCCTGGGACATGCATTTTCTAGAAGAAAGTGAAAGCACAGTTATTATTGTATGTGGGGTGGGAGATCTGAGAACTTTTCAGATGTTCAAAAGCAGATTTCACCTTTGAAAGTTAGAAACCATTCATTATACATCTGAGGAAACTGAGGCACGAGAAGGGAACTGACATGGCAGGCACACTCCTTGCATCTCTGCCTCCAGATTCCTTTCTTCAATTTTTGACCTTTGCTCCTTTTACTTCTCAAATGTCACTAATACCCACAGGAATGGCTGGTGGAATGTCTGTCACTTCAAACTGGGAAGGTTGATATGGGACCTCTCATGATGCCATTCACACACTTCCCATAGCATCTACATAACTGGACACGGCTGTGGTTGTACCAGGAGGAGAAGGGAACGCAAATCCAGTGCTGAATTTTCCTTTCCTGACAACAGAACAGTTTAGGCAATTCTGCAGTGCAGTGACGCACTGCACCCAGGGGAGGGAGGAACTAGTGGATTCCCCCTAGTGGATAAGAGCAGCAACTGCAGATTTTCTGGAAAACTTGCCGGCCCCACCCTTCCTCTGAGGCTTTTTCTCCGGGAATTAAAAATCTAAGTTTGGATGGTGACGCTTGCAATTTAGCATTTAGCCCTAAGGACTTCCTGGAGCCCATAACGGAAGGCGTTCGGGCCCCATAATTAACGTGCTGAGGAATGATCTGAGCCCTTAGTTGCCCAGCCCCAAGTCTCTTTCCTTCCTGCCTTTCTCCTTTTCAGCTGCCTGACCAGATGCTTTCCCAGCCCAGCCAGGTGCCTGAGGCCCAGGGTGTCCAGAGTATCCTGAACTCTTCTCGGGGTGAATTCTTTCCCTATGGCCACACTGTTGGAATTTTTTCTCAATGAGTACTTCTCAAGGAAAGAAAAGTATTGGTTGGTAGGTTCAGGGTTTGGGAGGCAAACACATTCTGCAGCCTAGAAACAGATGTGTTTGCACAACAGCTTTTCTTATCAGGACTAAAATCTCAGTCTATAACTAAAGTGTGAGGTAACAGGAAGAGGTTGGCTGGGAAGACACATCAGATAAACTAGCACGTTCCAGAATGAGAAGCAAGGGCTTTTTGACTTTTCTAGACCTACAGATGCTTTTTCTGCTCCTTTTCCTTGCAGTATTCAGATGGCTTTGACTTTCCTGTTTTAAAGTGGCTTTCTGCTTTGTTCTCCTTAACATCCGTCTTGACAGTAATTGAGACTTTCATTTTTTCCCCTCTTAAAAATTTTCCTTGTGGCTATCAGCCACAAGGAGATAATTAACCCCCCACCTAAACTCTAGGGAGTGTCCCAGAGAAAAAGAAACACAATTATTGAATTACTGAAATAGAATGGCAAAATTTGTAGGGCTAGAGGGGACTTTGAAACAGTTCCCAGGAGGTGGGAAAGCGTGGCCCAAGGTGGAACATGGTGCGCAGGAGAGGAGACCCAGGTCTCCTGCCTGGAGGTGGCTACCTCCACACCTGTCGGCTTCTCACACCTGACTGCATCCTGGGAGTTGTGTTTGTGGGAACCATTATAGGAAGGAAAAAGCAGTATGATAAATGGTTACTGTGAAAGAATTTTAAAAATGCAGTTAAACATTCAACATTTGAGGAAAGGAAAAAAAAATAAGACTGGAAAAAAGACTCAAGTATTGAGGTTCTCATTCTTAACCCTTTCCTCCCAGGGCTGCCTTTCTCCAAGGCAATCATTCCAGGCCGTCCCCACCCTGCGAGCTGGACCTGCCTTCCCAAGGTGCCAAGTCACACTACTTCTCCCTTTTTGAGTGGAAAGGAGAAGCAGGGGAGTAAGTGGGGCACAGGCCAACACACTAAAGTAGGAACTGGCAAACGCATTTTGTGAAAGGCCAGATGGTAAATATGTCAGTCTCCATCACTCTGCTTTTGTTGCAGGGACAGCAACCCCAGCAACACAAGAACGACTGCGTGTGGCCGAGTGCCACTAACACCATATTTACGGACATCGAAGTTTGATTTGCACATGATTTTCAAGTGTCACGAATATTACACTTCCTTTAATATTTTTCTCCACCATTTAAACATGTAAAATCCATTCATGGCTTGTGGGCAGAAGAGAATCCTACTTAGCTCGCGGGTGAAGTTCGCTGACTCCCTTCACTAAAGAGAGGCCAGGGCGGAGGTAGATTTGGAGGTGGCTTAAAATAAAAGATGAAAAGAGGGGCCTCCCTGGTGGTGCAAGGGGTTAAGACGCAACCTATGAAGTTATCTGCAGCCACTGCAGCACAAGTTCGGTCCCCGGCCAGGGAGCTACCCATATGGCGCGGCAGACCTCTCCTGACTAGCCAGCCTGCTGCTCCCCTCAGCAGTGTACTTCCGTCAGTCTGCCTGTTCTGTTCCCCACTCTGTCTTGGTGGATCCTCTCACTCCCTCATACCCCCGCATCTCTGGCCTGTACCCCAGTTCTTGCATGCATAAATAAATAAGTCTTTAAAAAAAAGAAAAGATGAAAAGAGAATTCAACGTGCGGATGGAAAGAGCTGAAAGGAAAGCAACGGGTGCCTGGGTGGGTGCCTCAACAGCCGGCGGGAGGAAAGGCAGCGGGAAGCAGAGGGCGCAGCCCCGCGGCTCCTCCCACATTCTTGGCCGCGTTCCGTGGGAGTTCCAGAGCCTGGGTCCCGGCCGCTCGCCGGCTGCTTTGCCGAAACTCGGATTTTCTCCAGCGCTCACAGGACCCAGTTCTGCAACGCGCCCCTGCTGGCCTCCAAAACAGCCGGGGCCGCCCGCGAGGGCCCCGCCCGGCCCGTGCCTCCGGGTGGCGGGGGGCTCCGGGCCCAGCCGGACCCCAGGGGCCTCTTTCCCGGCCTCCCGGGCGCAGCGGGCCGGGGCGCCCCCCCCCCCCCGCCCCAAAACCTTATCTGTTCCGCAAGTCGGGCACGTTTCCTCGGTCGCCGCTGGGCTGTTATTAAGGGATAATTAGTGTTAGGGCTTCTTCTTCTTCTCGTCCCTAATTCCCACCCCAGATTAATTTCTCCGGCTCTGCTTCCTGCCACGTCCACCTACATAAATCAAATATCAAGGCTGGTGGAAAGTAGTGGGCTGCTGCTTTCTTCTTGTCCTGAGAGGGGAAAACACATAACACGCCGGCTTACCGTGTCGGGGAGCTGCGAGGCGCCGAGGCTGTGGACGCGGACGGCTCTGCCCCGCCGGGGCCCTCTAGTCTCCGCCCGCCGCGCCCCGCCCCGCCCGGCCCGGCCCGGCCCGGCCCCGCCTGACTCAGCGGCCACCCCCAGCCCGCCCCGGCGGATCCGGACTTGTCCTGGGCGGCTGCCTTTCCAGACACCCGGTTTCAGTGTGAACTCACGAAAAACTCATGGTCCTCTCCCAGCCTTCACCAAGCCCTTTCCTGCCCTGTGAGCTTGTGAAGGTTTTTACTTATCTCCATGAAAAGCTCTGTGCAGTGACCTTCGGGAAGGCTGTCTTGTCCATGTCCCCGATGTGCCCCGGTCTTTCCCATTTAGGAGCTCGTTCTGCTGGTCCAGCTTACATAGGCAAGAAAACCCCTTTTTATTTTTTTATGTTATTTGAAGATTTATTTTTATTTATACCAGGACTGGGGTACAGGCCAGAGGCATGGCAGGGGGAGAGGATTCACCAGAGACAGAGCGGGGAGCAGAACAGGCAGATGGAAAGCCCGGAGCAGCAGGCGATGCAGGAGAGGTCTGCTGCGCCATGTGGGTATCTCCCCTGCCAGGCCGGGAATCGAACTGGCGCTGCGGAGGCTGCGGAGAGCTTTACAGCGCTGCGCTCAACCCGCTGCGCCGCCAGGGAGGCCCAAGAAGACCCCTTTTGAAAAACGTGCTGGAGGTGTGTGGACCATAAACCGTAGGTAAAAGTTCCCTGAAAGTCCGGCTGCCTCTTGGTCATGCTGAAGGCAGTTAATAAACAGTGGTGGTTGTGTGGGCTCCTGTGGAGGCAGGACTGTGGGTGCTTGGGTGGTGGGAGAGTTACTGTGACCACACCTGAGGGGAGACATCTTAGACTGTCCAAAAATTAACTAGCATGTGAAACAATGGTACCTCATTAAAAATAAGTTAAAAACAAAACCTGTGGTGGTGTGCCAGGTGTCTCATCGTTGTCACAAACTTCTCTCTAAACCAATAAACCAAGACATCCAAACTAGTGCTGAAATTAACAATCCACCCAAGAGCGCAGGACGTGTTGGCAGAAGCTCTGGGTCCTAATCCTGGGTCTATTACTTCATTGCAATACTTTCACAAAACCCTTGGTTTCCCTGAGCTTCTATTTCCCTATTTGTAAAAATAGGTCACATTGCCTTCCTATTTCATAAGATTATTGTGACTGTCAAAAAAAAAAAAAAAAAGAAAATGACTGCTTTGAGAAGCCTTCAAAAACTGCCAGGGAATGCAGAGGAAAGATAACGGGGTGAGGTGCTGCGTAAATCCCTCCCTACCTCTGCCCTGCTCCTGTAGCTTTAGTGGGTCATCTACCTGTGGCAGATCTCACCTCCGCTCACCTGCTCCAGACCCGCCTTCCAGCTGTTCCTTCTTGAATCACTAGCAAGGCCCACCTGCACCTCAGACACAATAATTCAAGAAAGAACTTGCTTTTCCTAACTTGTTTCTCCTCTGTATTTGTTAATGGTACTGCCATTCTCTCAACTTGAGAGTATTGAATCCAGAAAATCCCTTTTTTAGTGAATAACCCCTCCCCCCATCATAGCAATATTCCATAGTGCCAAATACTATCAGTTTAAATTTTATATTCTCTCTTGAATCCGACCCTCATATTTTCTTTCTTTCTTTTTTTTTTTAAAGATTTATTTATTTATTTATTTATACATGCACTGGGTACAGTCAGAAGCACAGGAGGGTAAGAGAATTCACCAGAGCCAGAGCGGGGAACAGAACAGGCAGACTGATGAAGTACACTGCTGAGGGGAGCATCGGGTGCGGCAGGAGAGGTCTGCGTGCCACAACCCTCATATTTTCTATTCCTATCCCCAGTGTTCTGAGTTTCATTTCCTCTTTCCTCCAATTTTCTAACTGGTCTTTTGACCTTGAATCTGTTCTATTGACTGCTAGAAACACATTTCCCTAAAAACCTGTAAAAATGACTCAGCTCTGGTCACTTGCCTACTTAACAAACAAAACACAACAAAACAAAAGAACCAAATAAAATGGTTCCCCCAATGCCTTTTATATCAAATCCAAAATTTGCAGCTTTGATCTGACTTTGGAAAAAAAATCTCTTGGACCTTAACTAATAAATTGATTTTTCATTTTATTTATTCAACAAATATTTTTTGAAACCTACTGCAGGTTTTTCTGCCCTCCTGCCATTAGGATTGATGATGGATCCTTGTGGTCCTGAATGCATACTTGATGGCGGGCACCTGGAGTAGGGTGTGGGCATGTGTAGATTCACCTGGGCTGAGAGACTGGGCTTATAAGGGCGGCGTCATGGGGATGCCAGCAGAACGAATGGAAGAGAGCAGAGAACCACAAGAGAAGCAGAACCATGAGAGCAGAGACCACCAGAGAACGCCAGAGAGCCCAGAAAGAGTGAAGACTTGATGGCGGCTGGGAGGCCTGCCAGCCTCCTGGCCCCCCAGCACCACTGCCTGCCATGTACCTGGTAAATCCCAATAAAAGCCTGAAAATCCACTGAAGGGTCCAGGATTCTCTCCTCCTTTACCCGTCTGCTTGGATCATAGAGAACCTGCTCTGTGCCCATTTCTGCCCTTACACCTATTATATGCCAAGTGCAGGGTTAGGCCCTGCAGATGCAACCTGAAGGTGACACCAGTGTCTGCCTTTGACGTGTCTATGGCTAGGCTTTAGACCTTACGGTGGTTTGGGGGTAACTCCATGGATAGCTGCTGGGGTCTACAATTACCCTAAAGTTATATGTGAAATTTTCTGCATTAGAGAATTTTTTTTTCTGGGGAGGGAGCCATAACTTCTATCTGATTCTCCAAAGAGTTTATGATCAAAAATATTAAAGTTAAATTATTCCATATCTGAATCCTAGGGCCCTCACACCATGATCTGCATTAAGGGAAAACTCCTAGCCCTGGCTAAAGGGTCAACCTGGTTAGGGATGTTTTGCTTGATTTGAATTACTGTCAGAGCTGACTGGGATGAAGTTAGTTCTGGGCTCAAGCACTGCTAGCCCATCAACGGTCAACAGTAGATGTTACACAGCACGATAAGAAAATATCAGTCAGGACAAATCAACTTCTTGTTCTTGGGAAACTGAGATTAGAAGCACATTGAGAACCAGTCCTTAGAAGAGCTGAACCTGAGCATTTGCACAGAAAGAATCATGAGGTCATGGCAAATCAAGGCTATGAAGAAGCAGACATAATGAATAAAAAGGAGCTATGAAACTTTGGTAAATGCACAGAATAGAAGGGGAAAGATTGGAGATAAAAGAAGTTGTTACTTGGATATTAGTTGAGTGGTTAGAGTTCCTGATTTTCTGTAAGACATTTGAGTAATTCCTCTGCTCCTTGAGGTAGCTTGGGTGAAACTGAAGAGTTGAACTGAGAAAATATGAATTGGCCAGAACTAGATTGGGGATCAGCCTTGCCCGGCTAGGACTGCCTGTGGAAGTCACTTCCCAGGGGCAGGCTAAAAAGGGGTCACTCTCAGGCATTTAGTCAAAGGAGGGAGCATTCCTTTGATGAAGGTAGACTTGGCAAAGTAGGTCAGCAACGCATCAAACTACAGGGCTAAAGCTGGCAAGGAGCTGAGGGTGAGTGAGGGCTGGTAAATTGATAGCAGGACACAACAATCAGGTATAGAAAGGGGCTATTCAGGAAATACATGTGGGGACTTCCACAATGCAGATTAGTGCTCTGTGTAACCTGAGCTCCGTGCACGGTTGGATAGGTTTTAAATGGACACAGTCGAGTGTGACACAGGTTTAATAGGTGTGTAACCAAGGTACAATGACATTACCCAGAGGGGAGTGGTGAATGAACTTGGGAAGCAGGTGGAAATGACTCTTAATCTGGTACTGAAGGAGGAATAAGAATTCATCAGGCAGAGAGTGTGGTTGGGATGGTGCGGTGGTGAATCCAGGCAAAGTCAGTGACCTCCTGCAGTGTTTACAATGACTCTCGATCTAGACTTGTGGTCAAATCTGGTGCCAAAACATGTCATCTGTAAGAACTCTAACAAGTCATTTGTTTGCTCTATGCCTCAGTTTCCCCTTCTATATAGTGGAGAAAATTCTTTCCTGAGAGAGACACAGAAGGGAGTACTTATTTCATAAGGTTTTTGTGATGATTTAGACACAATTCATACAAAATGCTTAGAACTTAGATCAATGAGTTCAGGGGATGCCTTACATCATGACTTGTACAAAAGTAAGGAAGGTTCGTGAGGCGTGTGTGTTCCCAGGCAGGCGGTTCACTAGTGCTGGGCTTTGGACATGGAGTGATGGTCAACGTGAAGCAGAAGGTGTAGGATATGAGATTGGAGAGATGAGAATGGCGACTGGAGAGAATGGTCGGATCATTAAGGGCCCTGCTTGGAAAACTGGATTGTATTCTGCAGGTTACCTATTAAGAACCACTGAGATTTCTGTGCCTAAACTCCTCCTACAAGTTCTGATTTATGCACAACACGGGCTTTTCTCTGGGAGCTTGGGATTCTGGCACTTGGGTGCCTGCTTGACCGTGACCAGCCACCGATGAAGACCTCAGGTGCTGAGTCTCTAATGAGGGTCTGTCCTAGGCAGAGTTTCACATGTGTGGTCACAGTTTGATGCTGGTGCAATTCTGTCCTGTATCCGTTGTGTGTTCTCCCATTGCTGATTCTGTCGTAATTCTTACCACACTCAGCTGCCACTTTCTGGTTACTTATATGTCTTGCCCACCAACTGCAAGCTGACTGAGGGCAGAGCTGGTGCCCTGCTGGCTGCATATCCCCACCACTCTGTACACATGCTCAGTGGTTCCCAGGAGGCCCTGCTGGGAGTGGGGAGCTGCGGCAGGCACCGGGGCTACTGAGGAGAACAAGGTAGGCGAAGTCTCTGTTCTGATGGTGCTCAGCCATGCTTCTGTGAACCAACCAATATCTAAAGAACAAGGATGAAGATGATCCAGCATAAAAGAAGAGAAATGATCCGGGAAGCAGGAGATGCAGAGGCTTCTCTGGTGTCATGATGCCCATGGAGGAGAAACT